TAAAAATTAAACTAATAGATTATAGACATATAAAAATGAGATTTAATGGAAGGTCAGACATTCGTAGTTACCATCGACATAAGACATAAAGCAATTCAAATAGCATTGTTCTTCTCTCTTAATTTCTCTGTGCGTATAACATGGGGATAATAGCACTTACCTATCTCCTAGGGTTTTTTAAAGGATTAACTGAATTAAATTTATATAAAACAGCTTAGAGTCATTCCTGGCCCATAGAAGAATATGTTATTATGTAAGTATAAGTCCTATATAACCATAAATATCATTTTTGTCTTTTTTCTTCTGATAATAGCATATCTCCCCATGATAAAGTACATTATAATTTTTCATTTCAACACAAATCTAGCAATTCAAATGCAAGTATAATATTAAAAACTAATATTAAAAACTAACTACTGCCTATGCTCAAATTGGAATTGGATCCCTAAAGAAACATTGAGCTCTATTCTGGATCATTAATGTACATATCGTAGTTATTTTTCATTGAATTTTCACAATGCCCCAAACACCCTAAATGTGCTTTACATGTAATAATTTGATCCTCACAAATTGGGTAATGTTATCCTAATTTTGCTGCTGAGACGCGGACTGGTTACATGGCTTGCCCAATATCATGCAGGTAGAAAGTGACAAATGAGGAAATCAAACAGAGCCTGCTGGCTTCTAGACACCACTTGATTAACTTCTACACTGCTTCTTGATATGGATGGCAAACTCCTCATTTTAATTCCTGAGCTCCTAGCTTCATTTGTGCAATAATGGACAGATTAGTATTAAACTATTGTCATCCATAACTCAGCAGAATTACCCAAGTTCAGATTCTTTTCATTTGTTTGTTGAAATTTAAGAGATTTTAGATGTAAAGCAATTTTTTTCTCTCCTATAGATTTAGTTTTCTCATTAAGCTTCATTTACTGTGGGAAGAGCTATTTCCCTCTGACTCATCGTAACTGTGGGATCACCCTATCTTGCATTAGTTGTGATGGTTAAATATTATTGATGGAAAAAAGACTCAAAAAATATAAAATGTTTTCAAAATATTAAGCACTAATAATTGATCATGGAAATGTAACTGCCACAGGCAGTTACTCACTTCCCCTTTAGAGCAGTATTTATTTCATGTTTGTGTGGTCAAACTTCCTATTTTATATTCTAATTCAAGAGTCAGCAAACTTCCCGTAAAGGGCCAGATAGAAAATATTTTCAGTCTTGCAGGCCAGGTGTTCTTCAACTCAACTCTGTTGTAGCATAAAAGCAGCCATAGATGATGCATAAACAAATATGTGTGTCTGCATTCTAATAAAACTTCATTTATGGACACCAAAATTGAATTTCATGTAATTTTTCACTTGTCATGAAATATTATTTTTCATTTGATTTTTCCCCAACCATTTAAAATGTAAAACCATCCAGAGTTCACAGGCCACACAAAAACAGTGGTGGGACAAATATGACTCACGGGCCATAAGCCCCTGACTCCTGTTTTAATTCACCTATAAGGCCTTTAAGGGAAACAAAAATATTTTCTTCATCTAAATAAATGATAATCAGATGCTTCTAATATCAGCAAAGACTATAAATGCTCAGGATCACAGGAATTTGCAAACGAAGACAAGGAAGGAGAAAATAAGGAAAAACAGGAAAATAAAAAATTGAATGTCACATCCCTAAGAGTTGCTGAAATTGGACTGTACTATCTGTGAAAACACTTCTTGATAAGATATTTGGAAACATTGCCTTTATTTTTCACTTTTAGAATTCGGGTCACAGTTGAACATGCATTGCTCAGCAGTGCTTCAAGAGGCTGCCGGGGCTTTGCTGTGATTAGCATCAGAACTGAAACGATGGGATATGAGCCATGATTGTTAATGGAAGCAGTGGCTCCATCCCATTATCATTCTGCATGGCAGGCAGAGAGAAAGCAAATCCTAATAGAAAGAAAGAGATCTCGAGCTCATTTCTGTGTTTTGATGCTAGCCTTAGTGTTGAAGAGCACTTTCAGAATAATTCAAATAAGCCTACGTCTTCCTGAAACTAGCCTTGAGATGAAGAGCTGTCTTCAGAGTTGAATGATGCTTCTAGGTTTCAATGGACGCCTCCGACCACACCGAACTCTGCCGATAACTTACGGTATGAGTGTATCCGGTGCCCAGGGGAGAAAGGAACTCAGTGCCAGTTCAGAAAGTTTCCTACTTGTTACTGTCGGATCACCATGGACACATTCTTTCCAAATGAATAGCAAGATTCCTGGGAGAGGTGATGCAAGGCACAAGACCAAATCATTTTAAAAATAACCACGCTACTACAGCTAAAAATTAATACAAACGAGTGCCTATCTCCAAGTCTTAGAGCCTCCAAAACTTGGGTAACGGCAAAGAAATAGAAACTCTGGACTACTTTCATTCCAATAGGAGAAATCTTAGAATTACCAGGTTGTAATAAACTTCAGATAGCATATAGCTCTCCTCAACATTTATCAGAACAATGCCTAGGTTATTTCTGATGGAAGAAAACCCCAAGTACTCTGCATACACATTTGATCTCCTGTCCCAATATTTTTGATCCTTCCACACCAGATAGTATCTTTGTGCCTTTTACATCCTGGGAAGCAGTTTATCTGCTAGACCCATTTTTCCAGAAACTCACTGATGATTCTGCCAGCCCACAATACCAACGGCTGAAGAAAGAACTTTGAAAATTTTAATGAGTTTACAAAAATTGTGTGTTTTTGTTCTCCCTCTGCATTGGTGATTAACGAAAGCTTGGGGATGTGTGCTGTAAAAAAAGCAAGATACGAAGTTGACTCACGGGGAAAAAAAAAAAAAAAGCTTGGTCCTGGAACACCTCTCTAGTCTAGAAATTGAATTGAAAAAATGAATTTAGTATGTTTGATGTCATTCAGGAGCAATCAATTTTATCCCTGTAGTTTTTTGTTCGGCATGATATAAACTCATTTTTTACCATCTCACAACAAAAGCTCTTCCGTAACCTTCTCTAAGTCAAGCACTTCTATCTCTTCTCTTCAAATAGCTTCCGCAATAGCACACATGACCTAAAACTTTGTCTGCTACCTCTGAAAAAATGTGAGGGTCTCTCGCCAAATTTGTCTGCTTTAAATATGTATTCCCATTATATCACCCTTTTAATGATATAATGATATTTTGTAAATACTTGTTTTTACAGCTTTGTCCCATTTTCATTCTGCATGGCAGGCAGAGAGAAAACAAATCCAAATAGAAAGAAAGAGTTCTCAAGCTTGTGTGTTTTGATGCTAGGCTTAATGTTGAAGAGTATTTTCAGAATAATTCAAATAAGCCTACATCTTTTTGAACCTAGGAAAATCCTTTAGATGAGGAGATTGCACGATGCTTCTAGGTTTCAGCTGGGCATCTTCAGCCACAACTCTGCTGATAAATTTAGTAAATTGAACTGTTAAACATTTAATGTGTCCATCCGTATACAAATGTTATGTCTTAGATTGAAATTTAAGCTAGTGCGGGACCAAGTTTAACTTATTTTATGTCCCAGAGTTCTCCCTAGACATTGTCTTCAGGGCTGACTCTTTGTATTGTCAGTTCATGTGCTGACTTCTAGAAGAGCCTTCTGTATTTCTCTGCATCAAAACTTATCAACCTATATCCTCTTTATCAGGACTCTGCTCTCAACTAGCTGTCATTAGGAAGAAGTTGTGATAAGCACTATGGTGTTAATGGATATTAGTGTCTTAATATATCATTTTCTCTGGACTACTGTACTTTAATCAGGATTAAATTGAAGAGAATAAGAATGTCAAGAATGAATTTGTATCACAGCTGGAATTGCAGGCCAAAAAGGGAGATAGTTTTCAGCCTGTGAGCTTTCTCAAGGTTCTCATACATGAAGAGATAAGCACCTCACCATCCACCCCCTAAGAAAGCTAGCCTAAATAGCCCAGCCTAGAGAAGAACTTAATAAACGGTCTTGATAGAAATTGCTATACACACAAATTGTAAATGAAAAATATTCACGACAAATAGTACACACGGCAAAAATTTTAAGCTTATGATTATAAAGGGCCTCTTAACATAGTAGTTATAAATAATGAGAATTTTCTAATCTATATGGAATTTATTTAAAAAATACTATAATAACCTGAACTTCATCTTGTTCATATGCTCGAGCTATACATGGCTATGAGCATAGTCGATTTATGAATTTTAACCCACTGTACTTGTAATATCAACACTTAATTTAAAATTTTTTTTCTTGTGTAAGTAGCTCAACCTTAATTAGGTCATTAGCCGCAATGAGAAAGGAAAAAAAGTATTTGCATTTCGAGTAGCTCATATTTCAATCAGGCTTAGTTAATAATATGTGGTCTCTAATAAAGGCATTAGCAAATGTTTCTGAAATATGTGCTGCAGCTAAAGGCAAAACAGAAAAACATTAGAAAGTTCATAAATCATTATTCCATATATATTTCTGTGATTAGAAGGACAAACAATTTTCAGGTTAAGCAAAACCATTTCCCTTTATTACAAATATAAATATTTGAGAGTATTACCTGAACTTTAATCACTGCTATTAAATTCCGATGAGCATTTGAAATTTTTAATGAAGGCAGAATATTTTTGTATTAAATAAACAAACGATGAATAATAAGAATAAACATTTAAATGGATCCTAAATCATAAATGTGCTTGGTTTTTCCTTAGATGCAAGTAATAACAAAAATTCTGTTTTAGATTTTTAGTGCTTTTATTTGTTGTTGTTGTTATTGTTTTTCTTGTTTGCCATAGCATAAAGTTGTATTCGTGTAGATCTAAGCTTTCAGGAAAACTTTAGAAATGTCTTTAGAAAAAGCTACATCATTACCATAAAAACCTTTTACAGATATATATATATATATATAGATAGATAGATAGATAGATAGATAGATAGATAGATATAGATATAGATATAGATATAGATATAGATATAGATATAGATATATACACACATATAATCTCCAAAGTATTTAAAGGGAATGGTTCCTCACATTTTAAATTATATTCAGTGAGTTCTGATTAGAGTAACTTTCTGCTAGAATTCACTATTTATTGCTTATGATGTCTCATTTTTTTTCACAGATTAATTTAGAAGGTGATTCTCTTAGTAATTAATTTATAGATGAAGGTTCTAAAATTGGAAGGGCATGTAAGTCTGTCTCTGTCTCTATGATTGTGTCTGTCTGTCTCTCTGGTGAGGAGATAAAACGATTTGCAGAGCAAAAAAGAAAATCTGAGCCTTCTGCAAGGCAATGCAGTGTTAAAATCTGCCAGGAAACACTGCTTTGTGCCTCATTCTTAAGATGATTTTATCCATTAGGCTTGTTCACTCTCAGTGGATGCATGTAGGATCAACAAATAGGCTCATGGGCACCTAAAAGGAAAAAGAGCTCAAGCTTTACCATGGCCACCTTCATTTCCAGATCCCTTACCAGACTATGGGGTCAGTAAGCCTGGTGACAAGGCAAGAGGCTAGAACTGACAGCTGGCTGTGGCACCCAGACCCCTTCATATTCTCTGGGACCCGGGTAAAAGAAGATAAGGGCATACTTTGTCCAGGATTAGCTCACATTTGCCTGGAGTAAAGAGACCCAGACTCATTCACAGATACTATATCAATTCTTATAGAAGCTAGTTGATGCCATCATTCTAAATGTACTAATGAGACTGGAGTGATTACATACAGCATTAAACTCCAAAATCTACACTCAGAACAAATAAACCTTTAGACTTTTGATGTAGGGTATAGAAAAAGTTCCTTTTGCATAGAGTATTAATGATTTCTATTTTTATGTCAGGAAGGCAAAATTAATATTTTGAAAAAGACTTATTTCTGAAGGGTTTAGATTTTAACAGGAAGACAAGGGAGATTCTCTGTCATCCCAAAGTATCTGTGGAGGCCTAGCACTCTCTGTGATTTTGATCTTTAAAAGGTCCATTAAGGCAGAGTAGTGATGATAATATCCCTTTCCTCCTCCCTCTGGAAAGTAAACCTCGAAGCCTGAGGTGTTGGGGTGTGGGATAGTGTGTTGCTGAGCTTAGGTTAGAAAATGAGGCTACAGCTCTGTGGGGGATTTTCCACTGCAGCTGACTGGCTGCACCCTGGCAATGTGGTGATGTTATTCAGGCTCTCCATGCACTTTTATCTCGGTCTCCATTGACGCACACACACACGAAAGTATAGAAAACCACAAGACGCACTCGTGTTTGAACCAGGTCATAGATCCTCAGGGACACCGACGGCTCGAGGAGTGGTGGTGCCTAAAGGGGCGATGGAGGGGACGGGGAGGCAATGTCACATTCATCACAGCTCCCATCAGAAACACTTCTGGGGTGAGTGGGTGCACTTGTTCAAGTGTGAATGAGAAGTGGGAGTACTGTAACACTTCATTTATGGATTTCACAGCACTGCAAGGGAGAAGTGAAAAGATTATTCACAGGAGTCTCACAAAAGCTTTCTTCTAGACTAATTGTATTCCAAGAACATATTTCACCTAAATATCTTGAATAATGGTGAAAATGTTAGAATGAGTAACGTTTATTGTTTTGTGCGAGTATATGATAAGGACATACCCATATATATAATCTTAGAAAATTTTAAGCATAAATAGAGATACAAATAAAAATGTCATAAATTCAAGTAATAGAAATATAATATAATAAGTATATATCAATATGTAAATATATATGTGTGTGTGTGTATATACACACACACACACACACACATATATATATATATATTTATCAGGTCATTATATATATATATAATGACTGATTGTTTAAATCATCTTATCTTAAAATTGATGGGGACATTCAGCTTTCCTTATCAGTCCCTTCAGTCCCTTTCTCTCCGTGACTAACTAACCTGGAGCTTCCCTAAAGGGCAACCAGGAACTTGAAGTCTTCTTGTACACTCTGGGATTTTTAAATTAGAGTCACGATTTGTATTTCGAAATGTAACATTTCATCCAATCATTCTTTCCAATCAATCCAAACTTGTGCTACTAACAGCAGAGTCATACATTAAGCAGGGGTTCTCTGCTCCGAGTATGCACACAGAGGCACACAAACACACAAAGACACACACAACTTAGTTGACTTTCCACACTGGGAATGAGAACACCTGCCTTCTCAATCCCACCACTGAACATTGCTCAACCGTGGAAAGAGGCAGTAGGAAATGGAGGAAATCCTGGTTTTGACTGAGTATTTACCCAAGAGACTGAGAGTGAATGTACAAGTAACACAGATTATCTAGAATTAGCTAGATAAAATTTTCTGCTATTAGGCAGAATGAGAAACTACTCTATTTTGAGTTCAGGATTTGACAATAAATCAAGTTGCATTTGTTTAGCACACCTCGGTTGTGACAATATGTTCTATGACCGACTGTGTGATTTTTAATTTCACTCACAAGATTTAAAACTAATATTCAGAAATTCTGGAAGTACCAAATGGCACTCAGAATAATTTTTGAGTTGTAAATAAGGTAGCAGTTTTGCTGGGGGAATGCAAAACAGACTGAACAAAAAATTCTTGCTTTTAAAACCATAGTTTGCTATATGTTTTAATTCACATGCTTGTAAAAGTTACTGTCTGATAGTGTTGTAATAGTCTTGTCTTCACTATTTATTTTCAAGTAAACGAAAGGATTAAGGATAAGTTTTCTAGGCAAACCAAAGAGACTGCAGAATCACCCATACAAAAAAAAAAATATTTTCTTACGGATAAGCTGCAAAAGTTATTAGCTAAGAACTACATCTTTTAAATCTGATGTTAGGATTTGGGACATAAAATATAAACACAGGAATTACTTTGTCACCGAGAAAAATGCAAATTCTCTACATATGCAATTAATTCAGGTAAAATGCAACCAAAATATTTCTGATCTTTCCTAGTCATGTGAAAATAAACCTAAAATGATTTTTCCTCTAATAAAACAAAAATTGACTTTGAACTTCATTAGTAACTTTTATAAACAAAATTAAAGAAAAAGACATTTTCATTTCAATAATTCCCATTAATTATTGTTATTTTATTTGTCAAATCCCAGTACAAAAATCAAGGAAGGAAGACTTTAATAAATTGAATAGATCAACTTTGACAGCAATGTTCATATTGTCTGAGAGAGAGCATGGATCAAAATCAACTGAGAAGAGAATACACCTGTAGGCATAGGTGCTGAGGCATACTCTACTTACTGAGAGTCAGTGTCGCTGACGAGTATACAATATGTCTTCCTGATTGGCTGAGGCAGAAAGAAAAAACAATATCTCATTTATGAATTTCTCAGACATTACCTAATACTAATATCATTCTAAATACTTACACATTCTCAACAACTGACTCTAGTTAAATCGATAGCATTAATTTATACAAAATAAAATACACCAAGAATATCTAATAACCACATATTTCTTTTATAACATCACTAAAATTATACATCTGGAGATTAATAAGTGTTGGGGCATACTTTTTAGCCCATGTAAGGAATGACTCAATCAGATAATCTCTACTGTATTGAACTGAGAATCACAGATTTCTATAGAAGGCCTCAGTTGCCACAGTAAAAACAAAGGGTCTATGTTTTTCAACATACTATAAGGAGCAGGGATTCCTTAAAAGAAAGCTGAGCTAAAGATGTTCTTCTGTGTTATAAGAACCCTGACCTTGCCCACCACCTCTTTGAGGTGCAGCTCCCTGCCTTCCAGGTTTTTTTTTTGGTACAGCGCCTCATCCAGGATGCATGACTACTGTGACCACTTAAAAAGGTGGCAACCAACACATTCCTGGAAGGATACCCAGCCCTCACTAATAGAAAACTAGAATAGAGTCTGAATGGTTGGATATAAAGGAGAATGATTCTCATTCAGGCGGAATCATGTTTTCTTCTTCATTCTTATCTATGGGAACTGCGGGCTCTTATTAAGATTTTGATTGACAGAGAGACACCAATATTTGGTATAAACCATAATTTTTCATTGTCTTATTATTTATTCTTAGTCATATACCATCATGGAACTCATCAATAAATGAAATGGTTTCATTGACTTTTACTACATCTATCTCTTCCCTCTGGGGGGAGGGCTGGCAACAGAGAAAAGGACTTGCACTGTCCTTGGCCAAAAGTTTTCCATCGAAGCCCATGAACCCTTTGTCCTTCCTGATGGGTGCAGAGTAGCCTTCTTGGAATCCCTCCTCATTATTTTCCTAGGGATTCCTTTTGCTTCTCTTCTGCATTGGATTTCCTGTTTCCTGCTCCCATGTCTTTCTCTGTCTTAATTCGCTCCCTCAATTTAGTGGATCATATCTTCCAGTAGTTTTCTAGAATCGAATGTCTCCCCTGTTTGATAATATCTGTATTCTACCCTCTCATCTGATTATAGTTTGGCTCTGTATTAATGCTACATAGGAAATACTCTTTCTGATGTTAAAAAGAACTCTCCATTTTTCTAGCTTGTAGAGTTTGTATGATTTTCAGTGCTTTGTATGTGACTTGTTTTTCCCTCTGGAAACTTTGGGAATCTTTCCTGTGCCTGGTTCTGAAATTTCATAATGATATGCCTTATGTAGGTCTATTTTCATCCACTGTTTAGGCATCCTATGAGCCCTTTAAATCTGGAAATTTGTGACCTTCATTCCTGGGGAAATGTCTTCAATGATTTTCTTGACGATTTCCTATCTTCTATTTTCTCTGTTTTTGCTCATTTTGAACTTCTATTATTGTATATTACATTTTTGGAGTGTTTTCTAAATGTCTTATCTCCTTTCACTTATTTTCTGTCTTTTTGTTATATTTTCGGAGCTATTTCTCCAACTTTATGTTCAACTCTTCCACTGAGTTTTGCACTTTTGCCAACATCTTTAAATCTCCAAAAAAAAATATTGTTTGTTTTCTGAATTCTTTTTTTCTAGCATCTTGTTCTCAGTTCACTGACACACTATCTTCTCTTAACTCTTTGGAATACTCATAATAGGTTTTGGAGGATTTCTTCTTCCTCACTGGTTTCTTTTTCTGTCAAGTTGTTTTTACCTTGTATGTTCTGATTTTTATCTTTTATCTTGGAGGTCGTCCCTGGTTCGAAGCTCTGAACACGTGTGTCAGGCTTATTGACTTTGAGCTTCATTATCATGTGATCTAGGTGGGGCATTTGACAGAAAATTGAGATGTGATTTTGAGTATTTTCTCTTAGGCTGCTCAGACTCCCCAAAGAAGAATCTTCCTGTGTCCTATCTGAGCAATGGAAGCCTAGTCAGGCATCTAAGTGCTCGGCATCCAATATTTGTAAATTCACCTAAGCCTGTTGTTTTCAGGATGGTTAGCATATCATTTATCTGGGGACTGGCGGTCTCATCTCTGCCCTCTCCATAACCTCTCTATTTTGTTGTGGAATCCATTTGAAATTTTCCGCCTTAAAGTATTAAATATGAGGAGTGTATTACCATCTCATTGACCGGATCTAGTCTTAACTCATTTATTGTTCAGATACGATTGAAGAATCCACAATATGATTTCTATGTACAGATGGAAAAACTTTGTCTCAGTTATGTACAGGATTTTCTAAGCAGTAAGCTCCCCTATATACCTAGGAACCCCGATAATCAACTTATTTCTCAATATGTAACCTTTTTTCAAGTTCCAATGCCAAGAATGTAGAGCCAGCAAACTGAAATTAAGCCAGTGCTTGTAAAGAGTAAGCGCATAAGGCTCATAGTAAATGCTTAAGGTAACTAGTACCTAAATTTTTACTTTCTTTTTGTGCTATTAATTAACGATAGCCTCCCTTTTTAAAAAGTAATTAGCTAAGAGAAACAAGATGAAATATAAGTACTGGTGACAGTCATAAGAAACTCTTGTACAGTGTTTGTCCTTGAGTCATTTATTTTTTCACACTAGTACTCATTTCTCTTATGATTGCCCCTAGTTTCCATATCTTCATTTATTATGAGTTTTCTCTTCTATTTGGCATTTTCTATTTGTGTTTTTTATTTTCCTTTTTTTCTACTACTTCTCCAGCCCCTCTTCTACAAGTTTCTCTCCCTGGCTTACAGAGTTAACTCATGATCAGTAACATCTTCTAGTCAACCTTCACAATTACCAATAAATCAACCAATAAATAATTTTATGAGTAAATTAAGAGTGTATGTGTGTGTGTGTGTGTGTGTGTGTTAACAGAAAAATGGATGAATCCAAGAAATAAAGCATGAGAGGTACAAGAAACCACCTTCATAAATATTCTATGGTTATACGTTTTTCCATGGAAACCAGTTATGTTAAATGTACATAAAAAGTTAAATAAAAATGTGGAAGATGTATCCCTGATTAAATTTTCTCCAGCTGGCACTTTGCCCTGAAATTGGCACTGTTAGGGATGATTAGCATTCTAAAACATCCAAGTTCACAGTGTCAATGGCTTGTTTGTGAGTTTGTCTAGATAAATAGAAACTTGTTCTGATCCTGTTAATATCATTAACAAAAAATAACATGCTGGCAAGATATGGGTTTGAGCTTCTGTCCTCTCTCTGCCAAATTTCTATTTTAAATGTAATCAGAAAAGACGTATTTTTAATACTGAAAGTGGCTTGGTAATAACCAACATTTATTAAGCATTCACAACAAGCCATGCAGTATGCAAAGAACATGCATTATCATATTTCATCCCTTCAAATCTTTGTGGTATTTGTAATTACTCTGCAGATTTCACAAGTGGAAAAACTGGTCGTAGATTAATAACGCACCCATGACCACATAGCTGGAAAAATGTAGAATCTAGTTTTCAGGGCTCCAGTGTCCATGCTGTTAACTATGATGCTTTACTGTCTACAGTACTGGATAGAATATACTTAAAACAATTAATTCATTAGATTCATGAAACTGAATCTAAGCTGCAGTTTTGTCATCTGTAACATGCGGATCCTCATAATTACATTACAGGTTTGTGATGAAGATAAAGTGAAATAGAATATATAAAAGCACTTAGCAAATGGCTGGCACCCCGTAAATATAGGCTGGCACATAGATGGAAGAGTTGAGACTCCAAGACTGAGGAAAGAAATGTTATCAGCTCCCACTCTTTAAGTTACCTGGCCTGCTCTAAATCCGTAGGGGTGAGAAGAGGCATCTTCTCTAAAAAAAATAAAAATAAATAAAAATAAAAAAAAAAAAGCTATATCTGGGGTAATCAAGATCTATTTATATAAAAGGACAAAATTACTCTGAACTTCCAGAAAGTTTATGGCCGATGCTATTTAAATTAGCAATTGATTCTACACGATTTTCTGCTATTTTTTAATGGTCTTCATGGGAGGGCGTTTTCTTCCTAAGATGTTTGTTAATGTTTGAAGGAATATTCCTCAGGTTCTTGTGTGGCCTCTGTCTGGGAGTTGTCAGTTACCATATCTTTTGAATTAAAAAAAAAAGAAAGAAAGAAAAAGAAAACTAGGACACAAAGCCTGACAAACAAATGGGTTTTTAGAACTTGTTAATTTACATATGAAGCCTGCTAACATTATATAAATTTGATTTCATTGGTTATACTTTAATTGATTGCCTCTATCGAAAAGAAAAATATCCGTGGAAACTGGACTGTCTCATAAGAGCATAGTGAATGGCTGTGGCACTCTCAGTGCCCGGCGTGGCCCTGGGCACCCCATACCTTTTGCCTTTACCTAGAAATCACAACATTTTCATACCAAGGGGAGATTTTTCGACTTAACAGCTACAAAACAGACTTCTAGGATGGTAGAAAATGGACCATTTCACTGAATGCTTGAGATCTCATCTCAAAGAGCAATCTAACAGCAATTAGATACCACTGTTTTTCCTATCCCAACATCTTCAGCTAAAGATAGTACAAAGAGTGTAGAGTAAAAGATACTCAGGACTGGAGAGCCTGCCCTATAAAAGCGATGCATAATAGTAAGAGCATAAAAGGAAGACCGTGGCCAAGACAAAAAAGCCCACAAAACTTGATGGTTTCCTAAAGTCTAAAATTAAATAAATAAATGAGCCACAGAAATACTGTTGCAGGGGGTGAGGGGCAGGTGGGGGCTGCCCAAGACCTCATTCTGGCTCTATCGATTCGGTACTGTCCTCGGAAGAGGGCTGCTGCTTCTTAGGAAGAGAAGGGCTTTGTCACTTAGGTGTTCTTTTTTTTCCTTTTTCTTTTCTTCTATTAATTTCAAGTATACAGTACATTGGTTAGACATTTATATAGTTTATAAAACAATCCCCCTGATTGCTCTTCT